ACAGGAACTGTATCTCGATGAGAGAAAGCAGCAGTCGTTATATGACCCCGTATTCTATCTATCTTTGTAGTGAAGTACTCAATAAACTTGTTAGCAAGATCAGTGGGCGATTTGCGGGGGGGATATTGAATATCTGTTTTCCTTTGTAGTAGTTTATCAATTATCTTAAAAATGCTGTTTATTCTTTGACTGATTCTCATTGATTAATGATGCGAAATAATTCTTCTTGGAGTCACGAATTAAGTTGTTGACAGCATCACATCCCTCAAGAAACAACTTACGATCAGAAGGAAGTTTGGTCATTTGCCAGCGTCGTTCAAGTTTTCTACGGGATCTCTTTAAATTATTTATCTCCTCAGAATACCAAGGTGCAGCGGGACGCAAAGTAACTATCTTGGTTTGCACTGGAGCATGAGTCTCAAGTATGGAAGTAAGGACTCTGCTATATTGATCAATCAAATAGTCCAAGGATGAAGATGACGAGGCAAAAAGATCAAGAAGGCTTGAATTCATAACATCAGCACAGAAATTATCAAAATCAAGATCGAAGCTTTCTGAATGAAATAATCTTCTTGTCGAGCGGCGGCTTATTAAGCGAGAGCTGGAGGTGACCAGCAACATGATCAGACATCAGGGCCCAGTTGTTCAAAGGCCGATTAGTGCTAACCCAGGGTTAAATTTTAATCCTGGTTTCTATATTTCTCTGTTCAAAAGCAGTTTTGGAATGATTTTCCCAGTTCTTTTTAGAATAATCGATCATCAAATTTTAGAAAAATGCAATCACACTTAATTCTCTTATGAAGCTTTCAGATCTAAAATCAAATTTCACACTAACCCTGGGTTATATTAATCCATGCCATCGTTGAGCAACCCAGCCCAGGAGTATATTACATCAAACTGTAAATATTTTATTCATCTACTTGTATGTTATATAATTACTCACGTTCAGTTACTCATTGATTGAAGATGGCATAAGCATGCCGAAACATGTCTCTAAAAAAAGTTGTATATTTCTTACAATAATTATTTATCCTACTTGCTACTACTACGAAAATCAGTGAACTCACCTGTTACAAGATTCAGCGCAAGGAATACAACGAATGAAATGTAAATTCCGAATGGCATCGTTTTGGCTGCTCCTTGCCTTCGTCTGCTCACTACAAACAACATATTCAGTAAAGAAGAATGTAAAGAAGCAAGTCCATCACATAATCAACAGACTACAAACTACATAACCCAGGTCGTCCGTCGAGGGTCGAACACACAAATTTACAGTACAGCGGTAAAATTAACAATATGGCATGTAAGCTGTAGTAGTTATTCCCCACGAAAAGTTCAAATCCGGAAATGAGTAAGATCGCACTGAACAAAGTACAAAGATATACAAAAACTAATGCAAATATTTTCAGTATGTTGGAGCTAATTTACAAGGTTTTCAATGCGCCAATAAACCTAACAGTAACGTTTGAATTTTACACGGTAACTTCGTCTCTTAAAAGTAAAGTTTGAGAGAGATTCTCCTTGCAGCGTTAAGTCAGTTTTTTTACTAACGTAATAGGAAAAACTTGTCAACACTGAAACATCAAATGATTCGTAAAATAACGAACAGGAATTTCAGGAATTGTACACAGCCTAGTCCCACACTTGGAAGAATCTTCTCCAATATCAATTTGCGTCACTAATCTCGATGGACTGCCTAAATGGATTACCCATATGGACTACCCTAAGTTACCTACCTTCATGCGAGCGAATCGAGCGAAAAGAGGGACCTGACTTCATTCTCTTTTGTATCAGACGCGTTCAACCGGCGACAACCTGTTAAAAATAAACCGATCTGTCACTTGATAGCTAATAACTCCACCTCAATTTGTCGTCCGCTATATTCCCACGGCTGTTATTAAAGAGAAAACAAAAATGCTACGAGAATCTACCTGGACTGCTTGATCGCTCTTGACTGACGCACGGTTGGTGTTGCTGTGTAGCTTTAGTTTAAGCTTCAATGTACTGCTCTAATCTTCTGAAGATCGCAATATCTGTGAAAATAACAACACTGTAGAGCTGGGCCCAGAGATATTTCCTAAAAATGTAACTATTTCCTACTGACATAGCAAGAAATAGTTACACTTACGGACAAAGAAACTTGCATCCGTGCATGCATTTATTCACAGACAGTCGTTTCGGCGAAGCCCTTGTGAGAACTAACTCCTCAGCTAAAATCTTTCAAAAGAGCTCTTCGCAAATTGCTAGTTGATATATTAGAAAAGGAGGATGAGTATATTAAAATCCTCATGATTGTTAATAAAGTGGTTCATAAATATGTTACTTTTTTTTTCTCCTCCTTGTCTTTATAGATTGTCAGTAAGTGCTGTGTTAATTTGTCGATTCATCGTGTATTTGTCTTGTCCCGCCACGACTAGCTTCCCAGCTATTTGCGGGGCAAACCTTTTCCAATATGTATTTCGTAATATGAATAAAGTTTTACTCTAATCTTTCTATGACAACATCTATAACTTCAAAACACGCCTTCGCGCTGGAGGCTATCCTCACCAGAAAAATCACCTCTGAGTTAAATTTACAGAACGGTAGTCGGCTCTGCAAAGGGGCAACAAAGTGTGAAAGAAAATTCTGCCTTCGTTACCACGTACAACCCTTCTTTGCCAAATTTTAAAAACATCTTAATGAGCAGATGGCATAGAGAAATATACAACAAGCCCCCCCACCCCCCAATAATTTCAGCAAATCTCTGGATTCTTTAGAAAGCACTTGTTCCGCGAATGCGGATACTTGAAATTTGTTCGCAGCAATGTCTGTAACAGCCAAGAGAGTAACAGTAACAGCCAAGCTTATAAGATACAAGATTATAAATTCGAATTACTCGCCACCCTACACGCGCGATGAATGAATAAAGAACAAAGAAGAACAGTATACCGTATGGGTATAGTCCATTTAGGTAGTCCATCGAGGGTTGTCCATGAACTGGGGGTCAGTGAAATGTACCTACCCGAAATTAACAAGGGCAGACAAAGAAGCTAGAGACGTTACATCATAGGCCTTCTTAGAGTAATTATAAGCTACGAGTCGAGGTGCTTCTAGATAATAATATCGTTTGGCTTTAATGTTTCATTTTCACTCACCAAATACAAAATAAAGGCTTTATGTGAAGACTTTGGTCTGTTTATAGCATGAGTTATGCTCAAAATTCCATTTTGCTTGGCCTTAGAGGGGCATAGAGAGTTTGTGCCAAAAAGTTAACAAACCTCATTAAGCCAAATTTTTCTCAATTGGTTTTGATGAATGGGTCACTAAAGTGCATACTGGATTTGGTATGAAAGTTATGCAAGAAGGCAGGTGAATGTTAGGGTTTTTTGAAGAATGGCAATTTTGGGTAGTGATTTTGACCTCAAATTTGACCTAACTTTAGCCCCCGGCTCCTTTCTGTCTAATCGCTTTACAACAAAGTTACATGTAAGAAGTAAAAGCTCCACTATAGTAGAGTCCATGGTCCAATTCATTTGGCAGCACAATTTACCGATGGAGTTTTATAGCACTTTCAAAATGCCACCTAATGATGAATTTTTGGTGTTCCATAGGCCACAAATGGGCCCCCCCGAAACTCCAGAACAAACAGTCAGAGAAGTGAGCCAAAGTGGCTTTTGAAATATCTTAGCACATGCAACTTTTGTGCCAAGATTCAGCCAAATCGGTTGACCACCACTTTTGGCCCCTGGAACACTGTTTGAAGAATATCCGACGCTAAAGTCTTCGCATAAATCTGTTTTGAGTTGATACTGTAGTAGTGCTATCGATGAAAGTTATCTAAATACACCTACTGCTCATTCCCAAAAAAAGCCACCTACTGGCTGAGATGTTTCCTTTTTTCCCTCTGCATGTAGATCAGCCGCTGACAACAACCACAGAATCAGGTAGGTTCTTTGGCTCTAACCTTTTTCAGATGACCCAAAAGTATTAAATAGGCTTCCGAGAGTGATGTTTATGACGTTTATGAAGTGATGGACAATGGGATTCATGGGTAATAAATTACAATTCAGTTCAACCACCGAACAAGAATGTCGTGTCTCAATACATGACATAATTGGCGACGAGGATTTTGATGCCCTAATACCTAAATTGGTTTTAAAATTCATTCCTTCGGAAATAGGGAGTAAATTTCTAATCAAGTCGTCTAAATTTCTACGGAATCCGGTCAAATCACTCGTAAAGTAGTTCAGTCGTCGTTCACAACAACCACGCGCTCTTCGACCGATACAGGAAAATGTCAGAATCCAATCAACCTGGTGGATCTACACCATAAATTCCTACACAAATGACCACAACTTTTGGCCGACTGGATAATTTCGATCCAAACAAAAAAAATTGGGAGTGCTACTTCAAAAGATTCGAGTAATTCACCGTAATCAACAACATCGCGCCAGAGCGACAAGTGGCATGATTCAACGCGGTAATGGGTCCATCGACGTATGGCATTCTACAAAACCTTGTTTACCCGGACAAGCTCAAGGATAAGTCTCTAGATGAAATTTCTAGCATTCTTGAGGAACGTTTCACTGAGAAAAAGGTTGAAATAGCCGAAAGATTTAGGTTCTACACCCCCATACAAGAGTCAGAAACTATTGCGTAATTCGTGTCTCGCCTGAAAAAGTTGGCAAGGTAATGAAATTTCGGAGACAAGCTGAATGATATGATTCGTGACCGACTGGTGTGTGGAATCAAAGATCGAAATACCCAAAAGAAGCTGTTGATGGAAAGTGGTTTAACCCTAGAAAAAGCCATTAAAGTAGCTGTAACTGACACTCCGTCACAGTTTGAATGCGTACCTTTTTTAATCTCGACGATTCACTTGTACATAACCCAAAAAAAAATACAGAATTAACAATGCGAACTTAAACCAAAGAAAACTGAAATACAACGAAAGAAATAAGAAAAACACAGGAAAATACAAACGAAAGCGTAACTACTTACAAGATCTGTACGGCACTCCGGAATGACAATGACTGAATGAATTTACAAGTACGACGTTATATAGCGGATAAAGCCTAAAACAATAGACTAAACAAGGTTACACAATACTCAAAGGCGATTGCATGAAACAACGCTGACAAACTTAATTTACATTTTGAGAGCACGGAATTATACAACTAATAAATACAGAACTGAACTATCGAGACGAGAACTATTCACACTAATTACAATTAACAAAGACGAACGACAGAACCGATAAAAAATAACTCTCGTGGCTACAGTAGCGATCACCGACGAAGCACCGAACAAAGACGTCGCAGAGCCCGCGAGAGCTAGAGGCCTGGTTCCAACCAACGAAGTTCATCAAATGAAAGCCACACCTTCAAAGCCGCCAAACCCAAAAACAAATAAAGAAGACAACCCTCATAGAGAAACAAAATGTAAACATTGTGGAAAAAGATACTATTCTGCAGAAAAATGCAAATTCAAGAGTGCTACATGCCATAAATGCAACAAACAAGGACACACTACATCTGTTTGTAAGTCTTCAAAGAAGTTTCATGTTCCTGCAGTCGAGGGAAAGCTCTCAGACTCTCAATAAACACAAATGAAGAATTTGATGACTACTGTTACCTGTACAACATCCAAGGTGGATCAGAAAATCCCATCATGATAGAAATTGAAATTCAAAACCAACCAGTTTGTATGGAAATTGACACTGGCTCTGGAAAGTCTATCATAGGCGAAAACCTCTACAAGGATCAATTATCCAATCTGCCATTAAAGCAATCACCTCTCACCTTTGTGACCTACAGAAAAGAGGAAATCAAGCCTCTTGGATATGTGGACGTAAAAGTCCAATATGGAAGTCAGTCACTTACACTACCCTTGTAATCAGTAATCAGTAATCAGTAATCAAAGTGTAATGTCTTTCCGTGGGGCATGGTTACCCATATTTCCCGAGCCAGAGGCTCATATATGAAACGCAA